GGAGGACCATCCGGCCAGGGCCCCATAGACCGAAAGGCCCCAAGTGTAGACTTGGGACACGATCTCCAAATGGAAATACACTCGGTCACAGCGTACATACACACCCATGGAAACGAACAAAGACATCAGCCCCCTTGCCAAAACATACCGCCTCTAAGGCCCATGAAGTTCTATATATATATATGCCTGATTTTTTTTTACATCAACTTTTTACTTTTAGAATTAATGTTAGATTTACAGAAGAGTTGCAAAGATTGTACAGAGTTCCCACATACCCCTCACCCCGTTTGTTTCCATATTGTTGTCATCTGTCATCTCACATCACAGTGGCACATTTGTGAAAGCTCAAACAACACAACGTTGGTACATCTCTTTTACTAAAGTCCAGATCTTCTGTGGACTTAACCAGCTTTTCCATCAACGCTCGCTCTGATCCAGGAACCAACCCAGGGAACCACATTGCATCCACTTGGCACATTTCCCAGCGTCCTCTGGGCTGTGACTGTTTCTGTCTTTCCATGCTTTTAATTTTTTTTGAATATTTATTTCTTTATTTGGGGGGGGGGGCAGAGGGAGAGGAAGAGCATCCCGAGCAGACTTCACATTGAGTGCAGAGCCCGACGCAGGGCTCGATCTCACGACCCTGAGATCATGACCTGAGCCAAAATCAAGAGTCGAATGCTTAACTGACTGAGCCAGCCAAGCGCCCCTCCATGCTTTTTAGAACCCTTTCTGTTTTGAGGAATCCCAGTCAGGTGTTTTGTAAAATGTCCTTCAGTTGGCGTTCATCTGAGGCGTTCTCCGGGGTCATGGGCTTGGGGGAAGAAAATCACATATATTGGGAGTGCACAATATCCATTCCGCTCACTCCTGGTGATATTAACCTTGAGCACTTGGTCAAGGTGGTGTCAGCCAGGATTCTCCACCGCAAGGTTACTGTTTTCCCACTTCCTGCTCTATTGTTTAGAAGCAAGTCAGAAGTCTAGTTCGAGGTCAAGGGAAGGGAAGGGGATAATGAAGCTCCATTTCCTGGAAGGGAGAATCTACGAAGATTATTTGGAATTCTTCAGTAAAGGAGATTTATTTCTTCTTTCCTGGTTAGCTATTATGCAATAATTTATTTCTACCAGTGTGGACTCATGGATATATATTTTATACTTTGGGTTATAATCTAATACTCTGTTCTTTCCTTTTTTTTTTTTTTAAGATTTTATTTATTTATTTAACAGAGAGAGAGACAAAGAGCCGCAACAGAGGGAGAGGGAGAAGCAGGCTTCCCTCTGAGCAGGGAGCCTGATGCGGGGCTCGATCCCAGGACCCCGGGATCATGACCTGAGCCGAAGGCAGATGGCCAAAAGACTGAGCCACCCAGGCATCCCAAATACTCTGTTATTTCTTTTATTGCTCTAATTGTTGCCGCTTGGCCACTGGAGTGATTTAGCTCCTGGGTCCCTTTGACACACCCATCCTTTTGTGTTTTGAGCACTTTCCAACTCTGGTGCCACCAGATGCTCCGGGCTCACCTTTTCCTTGCCCCAGTGGTACAATCAGTCATTACTCCAAGGAAATAATATATTTTTAAAACCAATCCTCCAATTATTATCTTGTCAGTAGTCCACTGCATTTGAATACATGATGAAAAAAGTTATTTTGTTCAATGACTGTTTAAAACCTACCTCAATTTTTTTGTAGCTCTACTGTGATGTCTTTTTAAAAGATACTAGGAGATGGGGTATCTGGCTGGCTCAGTCAGAGGAGCATCTGACTCTTGATCTCAGGGTTGTGAGTTCAAGCCCCATGTAGAGATTACTTAAATTAAAAAAATTTTTTTAAATAACTTAAAAAATATATACTAGGAATATCAAAACATGGGAGGGACCTGATCTTTTCTCCACTTCTAGAAGTCCTTGATGAATTTAACCTCTGTGGCCACTCTGCTAAGGCTTGGGGGCAGCCTGCCCACCCTTCCTATAGAGGTGACCTAGCTTCTGTGTCCTCCCCAGTCTGAGTGGCCCAGTGGAGCCATCAAAGGCCAAGGTAATTCCCGGAACCTTTCTCTCTCCAGGTCCCCCATCCCCTACCAAGGGGGTGACCAGTCCTGGACCTCTGCAGACCTCTGCAGACCTCACAGGAGGTGCAGGCAGGTGGCAAGAAAGCAGGCAAGCTCCAGGAAGGAAGCTGGCAAGCCCAGCCTCCAAGACAGATAAGCATGGGCTGGGCACCATTACACCCAGAGTGCTCCTGGGAATTAGGGCCAAGGTTTGCAAAATCCAGCTGTAAGTGAAGTAGGGGTTCCCCTGAGCAGCCCTGGATTCTGCAGAAGAGTCAGCTTCTCAGGAAAGAGCTGCCTTCATGAGCCGGAAGAGAGTGAGACTTCGGCTCACTTGGGGAGGGGACAGAGCTGCGTGACTCATCACCCGGTCCTGCGGGCTCCAACTGGCACAGAGCTGGACCTCCCAGAGGAGGTCCCAGGCAGGCAGTCACAATCCAGCACGTAGGGACACAGGCCGTGTGCCGTGGGAGCACTGGGGAGGAAGCAAAGTCGCATTTGAAGAGTCTGGGCGGGCCTCCCAGAGGAGGTGACATCATCAAAAAGATGAATGGAATTGGCCAGGCAGCAGTCCGAGGGAAGGAGCGGAGGGCACTCCCAGCCAAGGAAGAAGCAGATGCAAAGCGCTGGCCGGGTGCCGGCAGCCTAGTGAGCAGTCCATAAACACGAGGCATTATCGCTGTGGCGGACTTATCATCATACAATGATTAACCTGGGCTTCTTTCTTCATATTTGTCCTACCTTAAAGGTAGTTCCTGGGGCGCCTGGGTGGCTCAGTCGTTAAGCATCTGCCTTCGGCTCAGGTCGTGATCCTGGGGTCCTGGGATCGAGCCCCGCATTAAGCCCCGCATCGAGCCCCGCATTGGGCTCCCTACTCGGCGGAAAGCCCGCTTCTCCCTCTCCCACTCCCCCTGCTTGTGTTCCCTCCCTCGCTGTGTCTCTCTCTGTCAAATAAATTCTTTTTTTTTTTTGAAAGGTAGTTCCTACAATGAATATGAATAAATGCCTAATGTTGCTGAGCTTTTCCTCACTATAAAAGGGTTGTGCTGAAGACCAGGGGTACAGCATCCACAGCGCTCAGCCAGAGTAACTAAGACCAGCCCTGGGCCCCCCATGGAAAGGGGCCTTGTTCTCCCTCTCTCCTTGGCCCGCCCCTGGGGTTGCTATGCCGGGTGGGCATAGGAGGGAACATTTTGGGGTCTTTAAAGTTGAGAGGCAACGAAGCAGGGACTTGGGTAGACAGGGGCAGGCAAGTCCAGAGAACAGCTTCAAGGCCTGGCTAGGAATGCACGCTCCCTCCTCCCTGGGTCTTCTGTGGCCTCTTCTGTGGCAGGTATTGGAGATGGATACCTCAGAGAGAGCTCTGTGAATCCCAGCTCCACTAGCTCTGGGCCCCTGGGCAAGTGACTTCACCTTTCTGAAGTTTTTGTTGCTTCAACTCTACAAGCGCATTAAGATATGTACGAGAATTTCCAAAGCGTGCTCCTGGTTATAGCTACATAAGTAAATAAATAACAAATCCCAGAAATAACACCCGATAACAGAATGTATAAATAACTAGTGGTATATTCCTAAAATGGAGTATTTATTATTCAATCGTAAAATAAGTTATAGGTACACCGGCAATAGAAATGTATTTTAAAAAACAATGCTGTGGGGCACCTGGGTGGCTCAGGTGGTTAAGCGACTGCCTTCGGCTCAGGTCATGATCCTGGAGTCCTGGGATCGAGTCCCGCATCGGGCTCCCTGCTCGGCGGGGGGTCTGCTTCTCCCTCTGCCCTCTTCCCTCTCGTGCTCTCTGTCTCTCATTCTCTCTCTCTCAAATAAATAAATAAAATCTTTAAAAAAAAAAAACACAAAACAATGCTGTGTTGGGGGCGCCTGGCTGGCGCAGTCGGTGGAATGTGAGACTCTTGATCTCAGGGTGGTGGGTTTGAGCCCCATGTTGGGTGTAGAGATTATTTAAATATAAAATCTTAAAAAAAAAAAATGCTGTGTGAAAAAAAGAAGTCACATAACTATAGAATGATTCCACTTGCACACAAAAAAAGCAAAATGAAACTAAACGATACATTATTTAGGGATGTATACCAAGGTGGTAAAACTAAGAGAAAATCAAGGAAATGATTCGCACAATTAAAACAAAATTCAGGCAAGTGGTCTTTCAGGATGGGGGAGGAGGCTACAGGGAAGGCACGTGGAGGGTCTCAAAGGTACTGGTATGGGTCTAGTTTTTAAATTAGCTAGTGGACACATGGATATTTTGTTATTACTATTATCCATGAAGCTGTACCTGTATAGCAATGAGACTTTTTGGCTACTACACTGATACCCACCTTATAGGATGCATGCCTATGATAAGGCAGAGAAAATGTAAGTGAAGTATTGGTACACAGTCAGCTCTCAGTTCTGAGGGCTTTGGCTCCCTGAGCCTCAGTTTCCCCATCTTCAAAGTGAGCTGGTGACACTGCTAAGGCTTTGTCCTCTAGCTTGTGGGTTTTGTGTTCCCCTTTTAAACACACACACACACACACACACACACACACACACTTGAGAGCAGATGTCAGGCCCCATCCTGTCACCAAAAAGTCTCCCCTCTGCCCTAGGTCACTGGTGGTTTCAAAAGCGGCAAAGGTGGCTTCTGGTGCCCTGGAATGGAAGCTCCTGGTCCCCGTTCCAGTCCTTTCCAGATGGGGCAATTAAGCCTTTTCTGAGTTTCTCTAGGGTTAAAATGGGCCTAGCACCTAAACCCGGGGGTAAACAGTGCCAAGTGCTGTGCTCCAGTGAGAGCCCATGGCTGACCTGGGACCTAAAAGCATCCTCACGCGGGGGTGGGTGCATCTGTGAGCTGAGCAAGAGAATGCTGTGCCAACACTCGTGGTGATTGGTGTAAACGTGCCTCTTTGCCTGGTTTTTCGCCTCGGTCACTGCGTACTTCCTGACTGGACTTTTCTATCCTGGTGAGTGTCCTCCCCACGGCCCCACCTCACCTCTGTGTACCTGTTCCAGTCACGGTGTACCTGTTGAGTGTTCCTGGCTCAGTCTGAAAGGTGCCTGTCTCTGCAACTAAGGACCTACCTCTAACGGTGCGTGGACCGACCTCTGTGTGCCTGATTCACTCAGCGCGACCGTGACTGTACGGGGGTCAGTCGGGGCGTACCTGGCAGGCGCTCCTAGGTCTGAACGTGCGTGGCTGTACGGGTCCTCGCATCGCCGTGCGCACCCCGGTGAGTCCGCGCGCACCTGGCTCGGCCCGCGCCTCCCTGACGCCTGCCAGGAGGTGCGCTCCAGCCCCGCAGACGCCGGCGCCGCCGCGGCCCCGCGCG